TTGATAAATGATTTACACCATCATCTAATGCAGTAACATCATTTGTACATTTTCCATCATGTCATACCTGTACTTACCCATATGTACATTTACCAGGCCATATCTGTACATGGAAAGCTGTATATATCTTTATTTTAATTCTTTTTTTTTTTTTTTAGCCTTATTGCACTGTTATATTGAACAATATTGTGCTTTTGCTTCTTCCATGCCTAAGTTGTATCTAGCTGATGTCATATATAGATATCCTCAGTGAGGGATCAGTAATGTTTATCTTATCTTATCTTAGTTGATCTTATCTTATCTTTAAAGCTAACCAAGGAGAAGGTGTTATTATCTGTTTGAAAGGTTGACTAGCAATCATTACACCGTTTTAACAATCAGAAATAACTTTTGAATGTACTATCTAACATTTTTGTTTCAAGTAAACTAAAGTAAAAAAATAAAAATAAAATAATCCAACCTACTAAAGTAGAACAAAACCCTTGTCAGGATTATAAATGTACTTTTATCATAACAAAACTTGTTCTAATTTTGCTGTATTGAGTTCCTACTGTGGGGCCTGTATTTTATATTTCCAATTTTTTATTGTTTTTTTAAAAACTGTTTTTAGTTTTACATGAGAGAAAACACTCTGTTTGGCTCTACAATTATGACATTCCTGTAAGATGACCGAATTTTGAGTCATTTGACATTTTAAGTATGTCTACGTAGACATTTAATAAATAAATATTCCGCCAAACTGGTCGTTCCATTTTACGAGCAGCTTTTGAACGCAGCGCTCAGTGCGCCGTCGCCGTTGCCACGTCAACGTGACGTACAGGAGGTGTAGTCCGGGTGGGAGGCGTCGTTACCGCCGAGCAGCCCAAGAAAGCGCACCGAGACTCGCATTCATGGTCTTAAACCGAAGAGGAGCCCAGTGAGAGGTGAGGCGTTACTGTTTCATTCATTAATGTTTAACTTCTTCTCTTCGCTCACTGTTTCTTCTGAAGTTAGCCGGTTAGCTGCTAGCGTGTGCTCGGCTCGAGTTGCCTCCGCTGCTGCTGCTGCTGCTGCTGGAAGACAGCAGCAGCAGCAGCTAACTACACTGAGACATGTAGCTTAAATAGTAAATACATTCATTGTGAATATTAGAGTTTATTAACAACCGTCTGTTTTATGACACAGTAATAATACCGATTTTCTCTGCGCTGCTTGTGATGTGAGGCATCCCTGTTTGTGTTTTGGTGAAGCCTCAACTTAAACTGACTTGACACAGCCTCCTGGAAACATTAAGTTAAAAAGTTTTATGAATAATTTAACTCATAATTATTTCACCAGTATGTTTGACAGGTTATAATACATCCTCCTATGCTGCTGCTTCCTTCAGCATCTCATTCAAATGCTAAAAAAAATCCCTCCAGGGATATTTCCTGGTCCAGCAGGCTAATTATGGTGGGTGTGGGTTCAAACAAACAGAGCAATTAAACATTCCAGTAGTTGCTTCATTTTAAGGCTGCAGATCAAGATATAAATGCCATGCTGGGTGATATGTTGTCACCAGTTTTGCCTGTTTTACCAGCAGTAGCCTGGATTGTAGAAATACTTAAGTCATGAGGTCAGTTTTCGCCAGAAGAGCTCCAATTAGTCACCATCAAGCAACCTGAGGATTTTATTTTGAACTCCAGGTGTGTAACTTCCAGATTATTCATAGAAGTATTGAACTTTTGTGTTATTATTGTTTTTTCTTTGCCTAAATGCAATCAAATGTAGTCCTAAATATATTAGGATCACCTCTAAAACCGCCACTTTTATGATACGACTTCTTGCTTCGTCAGTCATAGCTGGCTTTGCTTATCGGTACCAGTTCATCAGTTTTGTTTGTTTTCATCTATTTCTTAGCCTTTTTAAAAAACACAGCTGATCATGGACCCGAGCACCAGCGGACTCAAGGAGAGGTTGGCTGAGGCCGGCCAGTCCCACACCCTGCAGTTCTGGAGCGAGCTGAGTCCCGAGGAGCAGGCTGACTTGGCCCTCGACCTGCAGCGGATGGACTTTCAGGAGATCAATGGGTTCTTCAAGAATGCTATGGAGACGTCGAGCAGCGGCAAGCATGAGAAGATGGATGCACGCATGGAGCCAGTGCCCAGGGAGGTGCTGGGGAGCGTGACAAGAGACAGGGAGCTTCTCAAAGACTGGGAGCTGACAGGTGAGCGCCGTCTTAAGTTCAAGAAAGTATATTCACACACAGGTACTGCCTTTAAGCTTTGTTTGCCCGAAGCGTTAGTTTAAGGAACAAGGAAGAATTGATTTTACAAGTTTCATACAGTAGCAGGAAATCAGTGAGCCGTCAGCTGCTGTTAAACAGGACATGCGCAATTACTGCAATTAGATTAAGAAACCAGAGTCTAGCAATAAAGTCCTGAAAACTTTCAAGTACCATGTGATGGCCTGCAGGTGAGACAGGAAAGATTTACTGGTATCAGACTGGGAAGCTTGAGGGGATTAAAGCATCACATGGTAGTTCAGATGCAGTGATGTTGAGATGGGTCAGTGGCTCCTCTCATTACTTGTGTTATTCATATTTTCAGAGATTGACTTCCAGACATAGACCCACGCAAAATCATATGTAACTTATGCAATAGTTTATGACAAAGTCCTAGCTGAGCAGCATCAGAAACTCATTTGCTCTCTGTGTGGTTGTACAAACTCGCAAACCATTCCCAGTCTAATTCCCCAGTGTAGATCTGAAATATGAGTAAGTTGGCTTGCATTATGTTTTGCGCAACCGCCTTCGCTGTAGGGGTTTGACTGTTTAAATCGGCAGGATTTTTTTTTTCTCCTGTGGGCATGATGACAGCAGGGGCAGCAGAAAGCATCTGGTTCTGATTTAGGACTGACGTAATTAGAGTTGCCTCTTGACCCTCGCTCATGAGGTCATCGTGAGCTGTCGGGACCAAAAACTGGGTGTGGCGTCTGTGTGTTTGCGTATTTTTGGTTGACTAGTCAAAGTCTAGCAGGCCCACCCAATACAGGGGTATAAAATTTGTCTTTTGGCACCAACAAGTAGTGTTGCATCATGTCACGTAGCAGCAGTTTATGTAAGATAAACTGGAACTGCTATAAAACACTGACCCATTGAACCACAGGGATATCGATCGCAGGCTTCATTTGGGTTATTAGGTTTTAGTTCAAGGCTAGCTTAATGTCACGTCTTTAAAGTGTTGAAGGATTGGTCTCAGAATGACATCAACATCATTAAATGCTCAACAAATGGCATTAATAAATGTTGTTATGGTTCTGTTTATAACTATTTTTCCAAGGTGTATTTATAATGGCAATGAAGGTGCACTATGTCTACCACTAGATAAGATGTTGTATAAGTGTAGTGAGTCTGCGTATTATACCATCCATCTATGTAGATTTACATGTGGACAACAATTTAAAATACACTGTGAGACACATTCTTTTCCTCTTTCGCCCTTCAGGTCTTCGCTGCATCTCTCAGAGTAAAGTGGCCGTCTTGCTTCTGGCAGGGGGCCAGGGAACCAGGCTGGGGGTCTCTTACCCCAAAGGCATGTACGACGTGGGGCTGCCGTCCCACAAAACCCTCTTTCAGATCCAAGCCGAGCGCATTCTGAAACTGCAACAGCTGGCTGAGCAGAAGCACAAAATCAAGTGCTGTATTCCCTGGTGAGACGTCAGGTTTCAGATCACTACGGCTTTTTTAGTCAGCTGAATCTACTGCTGTGTTTCAGAAAAATAAACAGGCCCGAGCCACCGAATACCGTCTCTATATTTGTAACGAGAACTAAAGCGGTTTGTCCCAGTTATGTTTGCATGATGAGTAAGTGGGCCAAGTCACTGTGAGCATCAAAGGAAACTCAATCAAGGAAGTTGTTTTACTGGAAAAGGATTAGTACCCTGCAGAGTTGATTCAAGGACAGTTTACAGTTTGATATTGCGAAAGATGGAGATAAGGAGGCGATGGAATGTATAAAGTCCTCCAAACACAGGGCTTAACAGTTTATGAAAGTTATATTCAAAATTGCATGTGACATCATCTTTTTTATTGTCTACCACCATACACCTAAACTTTATTGTTTTTTTTGTTTTGAAGGATTTTTATTTCTTTGGTTTTCCTGAGCATGCATCCTTCAGATACAGCCTTTACATTTGCTGTTCAACTGATACAAAACAAACAAATATGTGCCTTTATTTATTTCCTTCAGGTACATCATGACCAGCGGCAGGACAATGGAGGCCACCAAGGAGTTCTTCTCGCGACATAACAACTTTGGCTTGGACAAGGACAACATCATCTTCTTTCAGCAGGGCATGCTACCAGCCATGGACTACAACGGCAAGATCATCCTGGAGAGCAAAGGAAAGCTCTCCATGGCTCCTGGTACGCACACACAGGATTATCGACTTTATTATGTACATTGTCGTTCAGTGTGTGAGAGTTTTATTTGCCCAGTTGAGTTTGTGTTTCTCTAACTCGTGTGTTTGTGTTGCAGATGGCAACGGCGGTCTTTACAGAGCTCTCGGGAACCAGGGTGTCATGGATGACATGGAGCGGAAGGGGATCGAGTTCATCCATGTTTACTGTGTTGATAACATCCTGGTCAAAGTGGCCGACCCCGCCTTTGTTGGTTTCTGTGTGCAGAAGGGAGCGGACTGTGGAGCTAAGGTTGGTCACACCTCCTGCTTTTTCTTTTTAGATTTTACATTTGTCTTAATTACAAAGCTAATTAGGTACAACACTGAATCAGAGACTGGAAATCCATTTTTAGTATTACTTTTAGGAATCAACCATCACAACACCTGAAGTAAGATATGAAATCTTCAGAGCTCCAGAATAACCAGCAGCATTGGTGCTACCAGCTTTCTGATATCGTCACAGGAGCACTATTGCCACTTACGGTTACAGGAGCCATAATCTTAACGTCATTTACTAGATCTTCTCTCGTATCACATGCATCATAACAAGAACAATAAAAAAGGATGATGATGCGTTATATTCCTGTCATAAAGTTGCTTGATATGCTGACATCTCACTATCGAACACGTTTCGACACTGGTAAACCCAGAGTTGTCCTTTATCTGTCCAGGAAGTATAAGTGATATTGCAAAGATTACAGTTTAGCCAACAGGGCCACATTATTTATGCAAATGCCAGTGTGTGTAATTGAAGTACCTAAGAACCTAACAAGAGAACAAAGTGTGCTAATATTAGAGTCACTGTGCCTGTTTGTGATCCAGTCTGATCTGTCAGTCTGGTTCTTCCAGGAGGTTCCAAAAGGCAACAGATGTGTTGAGTTGGTGACTGTCAAGTATTAGAAAGGTGTGGCCACAAGTTTCTTTACTGGTCCATTTCTAGACAGCGGCACCTTCCACAGCTCACCACTGGGTGGAGACAGAAGCCACTTGCTTCTCTCCTGTGGTCTTCTTGAGCAGTGAATTCATTACAGCTTTCTAGGAAATTTGAGGGTTTAACCCCAGAGTCTTCTCTCCTTTTTCTTACGGTCTCAGATAGCATGAGGATGATGTGAAGAAGCCAGGAAACTACTTTAGGAGTGTACTTTAATTTTTAGGGGGGAAAAAAGCATTTTAGTGCTGGACTTAAATATTTTTGACTTGCAAATAAACAATCATGAATGATCATATATTTTTTTGTTTGTAAAAAAAAAAAAATGTTTCTTGTAAAAATGTAGGTTGTTGTTTGCTGTTACTGTGTGTACTTTTGCTGCAAATCAAATGCCCCCCTAGAGGGACAGTGAAGAATGAATAACCTTGAAAACTGAGTGCAGCCAAAAAATTGTACATTTGGGACGCGCCAAACAAAACATTTAGCAAACTCCACTGGCCAAGGTAGTTTAGTCATTTTCTGCCTTTTTTGTTCAAAGGAAAACAATGCAAAACAACACGACACCATAAATAGCAAAAAGATGGGTTAAAGGTAAGATAAAGATATACAAATGTCAAGATACATTTCTTATTCTGTCTTAAACATAAAAAAAAGAAATATAAATGCAGTATAATTATGCTTTTGGAGTGGAGTTTGCATGTTCTCCCCGTGCAGCGTGGGTTCTCTCCAGATTCTTCAGCTTCTTCCCACAAGGTCCAAAAACAAGTTGAGGTTAATTGGTGATTGTAAATTGTCTGTAGGTGTGAATGTGAGTGTGTTTGGTTGTCTGTCTCTAAGTGTAGCCCCGTGATAGACTGGTGACCTGTCCAGGGTGTCCCCTGCCTTCACCCTGAGTCAGCTGGGATAGACTCCAGCCCCCCATGCCCCCAGTGAGGATTACGCGGTGTACAGATAATGGATGGATAGATGGATTATGCTTTTGTTGTTCTTGGTAAAGCCTCAGGGACAACAGTTAAAAGGAATCCACCGTAAACAATATATATTTTAGATGTTTTGGTGATCGTACACTTTTTTTCCATCTGGTGAAAGTCAAGTCTTTAATTTTTTAATTGTTATTATTTACTTTGGTAACATGTCCATATGATTTTATGATGAAATTGCAGTGTACTGATGACAGGTTCTAAAACACAGATTCAGACTTCTGAGGTTTAATACGTAACAAAATTAGGCTTCAATTCTGTCAATCAGTACAGTTTAGCTTTAAGTATTATTGTTCTTTATCAGAACTGATTTCTGATTCTAACATGTATGTTTGTGCAGAGTGAGATGGAAGCAGGGACTTTACAGATTCTAGAGGAAACAACGGTGTAGACTTATGTCTACGGCATTTTAGGTAGGAAGGGATTTTTTTCATGGAAAAAAACTTCTAAATATGCAATTTTGATACACAGACATGAGTTTCAAGGTTAAATCAACAAAAAAACGATATATAATAAATATATAATTGGTGGTTTATGAAAAGACAGTTGTAAATCTTGCTGTTTGACTGGAAAGCCCGAACAGAGTGAGAGAACAAAAATATTTATGATGCTTTCTCGTTGAAAGGTTAGGCAAAGGAGGTAAGTTGGAGGTAAAGCCTGACTGTGTACGTCATCTCCAGATTCAACAGTGGCAAGGGCTTTAATGTGTATTCAGCTGACCCATACAAATGTGGAGAAAGAAGAGGAAAAACCAGCTCAATATTTGTTAGAAAAAAAATAGTTATGTGAACACTGGTATCTAAAAGAGTCAACTAGCAGGAGAGCCTCAGGAGACTTGCTTTTGTTGACTAAATGAACATTGATGGCGCATTGACAGCAGATGTCCCGCTTAAATTAGTACATTTGTGACTAACCTTTGCTGCCAGGTCCTTCCAATTAGTTTGAAGAAGAATGTTACACGCCATGGCAACTAAATCAAAATACAAATTCAAGATGTCCCCTTTCCACGTCTTCAAAATCACAACATGTGTCAACGCACGCGTTTTGCCTCGTCATCTCGTAGCACTGTTGTGAAATCATTTTCATCGCACTGCGTCTATTTTCCAGCATACACAGAGCAGAGTCAAATATTTAACTGTGGATCATCCAGACCCTGCTTCTGTTTGACATTATTATAAGTTGTGTGGTGGAGCAGAGATGGAAGGATCAGATCAGAGCAGAGTCCCACCCTCCCATCGTAAATTACAAAGCTCCACGAACTGTTCATGTGGCTTCACTAACCCCTCGCTCAGCCCCCACCCCGTTCACCAACCCCCTCATCAGGACTCCACTCTGTCATTAGCCACCGACAGATGGGCAGAGGGGGAGAGGGCTTTTTTTTTTTTCTTTCATCCAGTGCAGACTTTAACTTGCTGGCTGTATATAGTGGAATACGCTGATTGTGTCATTGCAGTTTTTGAGTCGTAACGACTCGTTCATGTCGCTTTAACCCAATTTCATATACAGTATAAAGCAGAAGTGGCTGTGCAGTATCACTTCAGTGTCGGATGATTAAAAATTGTGTCACCCCACAGTGATTCAATGACTGTTAAACTTGAGTTGCACAGTAGGGTATTTGCTCCTAAGTGGAATTAAAAAGCAACAGTTCAGACTAAATTAAAAATACAGACCCCACAGTAGAAACTCAATGCAACAATAGTTGGTGCACCTTTCCTTCATGAGATTCAAATCTTTAATTTAACTTCATAGATTCATATTTGTTGTTGATGACAGACTCAATCTTTCTTGGCAAATTTCTGGAGAGCTGTTCTGCCGTTCTTCAGAAATGTTTTTTGTTTTTTTTTCAGCCGTCCTTGCTGGAGGAGTTGTGTTGCTCTACCTTACTCTTTAAAATGCAAACCAAATGTGTGCTATTGGATTCAAGTCAGGCGACATACTTGGCCACGTCACAGTTTTTTTCTTCATTAGAAACTCGTGTGATTTTGTGCTTTGGATCGTTATCATGTTGAAATATTCCTCTTCTGCCAAGCTTCTGCAGACTGGAAGTCATCTTGTCAGCCAGTATTTTTGGTACATCCACAGACATTCACAATGCCTTCCATAAATGTCACCTCCCTGAAACCTTCTGCACTTATGCAGCCCCATATCACCACCATCCTACCTCTGGGTTTCACTGTTGGGACTCTGCATTCACTGTGGCAGTCTTGGCTAGTTTCATGCCAGATATGTTGGAGCCCAACAAGTTTATGTTGGTTTCATCTAAACAAAAAGTGTTCTCCCAGTATTCATCAGGTTTTTTCACATGCTCTTTAGCAAAGTTTAATCTTGCAGTTTTCATGAGTAAGCAAGTTTTTTCCTCTTTAACGAGGCTGGTGTTGTGCAATTTCCTTCACACTGTCTGTGTTGTCAGAAAAACTCTGATTTCCATTGAAGTCTGAATCACTTGCTCGCCTATTTCTACAGTTATTTTGTGCAATAAGCGGACTGTCTGTGGCATCATTTTAGGAGGACGGCCACTGCAGCACTGATTAGTGGTCCAACGGCTCTTTTCACACTTCCTGATTACTGCTGCCACTGTGTTCATACTGATTTTTAGTTTGTCTTCCTGTATCCTTTTCCATCTTTGTGAAGACTCAAAATCAGATTTTCTAACCCTCCTGGTAATTCTTTTTCATGATGCAGACATACAGATAAAATGCAGCTGATGGCTCCAAAACTGAGAAAGTTCTGGTGTTCACAGCTCATCTTAGAACCATGTTCCTGCAGTTCGGTTAATGGGAAATCACAGTTGTGCTCAATTTTGTTTCAGTGTTCACAGGGTTTCTAGCTTGTGTCTCAATGAGCACAGGTGTATTCACTTTTGTTGCGTTGAGTTTGGACTTTAGGACCTGTATATTTAATATAGTCTGTCTAAAGTATGTGACTTATGTGTTTAATATGCAGATAGCAGCGAATACAGATTTTTGATACGCACATGACAAAAAAGTCTTTTTGCGACATTGTTTCCAGGTGGTGGAGAAAACCAATCCGACAGAGGCAGTGGGTGTGGTCTGCAAGGTGGACGGCTGTTATCAGGTGGTGGAGTACAGCGAGATCACCCTGGCGACTGCCGAGAAGCGCAGCGCCGACGGCCGGCTGATGTTCAACTCGGGAAACATAGCCAATCACTTCTTCAGCTTCTCCTTCCTCAAAGATGTAGTCCAGTAAGACGATGAACGGGTGGATGTTTTTCAGCTTTAGTACACTTTGTCCTCTTCTCTGCCAGAATGTGTTCATTTGTTTCAGTAGTTTTGTATTCTCGTACCAAGAACAACATCATAATACAGGCTTTTTCTCTGTGTTTATGTATTAGGAAATACGAGCCAAAGCTGCAGCACCATGTGGCCCAGAAGAAGATCCCATATGTGGATGCTCAGGGTCAGATAATCAAACCAGACAAACCAAATGGGATTAAAATGGAAAAATTCGTCTTTGACATCTTCCAGTTTGCTAAGTGAGTTAAAGTGCATTTTTTCCATACAGGGTACAAAATGTCTGTGTGTGTGTGCGCGCCAGCATCAGTACAACAGCAGCTTACCTCAAACTAAAAGCGTTTGAAGTACTTTGAATACAATGAATAACTTATGCTGCTTTTGAGAAGTGGCTGGATTGCATATGTTCTTCTGGCAAGCCTCCGGGCTTTGACTGGTCCTTGATCTGTCCTTCCATGTGAGAACCAACCCCTATTTTCCAGTCCTGATCCCTATCCTCCAGCCCCAGTCTTGCCATTTCTCCAAGGTCTGGTCCAGCAGACGGAGCCTGCCAAATTCTCCGCAGGAGGATGGAGGTTTATGAGCTGTTCACTCATTCCACCTCCTCCAGTGTTACATGACATCAGCTCTGAGTCACGCCACTACTAATAGAACTTTACATTTAATGAAAAGATTCCTGTAATGATTGACTGATGGAAAAACACTGCAGACACGTCCAGCTTGCTTCAACGGTTTGCGCCGCACTTCAAAGTGAAAAGGATGAGAAATTGTTTTTTGTGCCGCTGGAAGAGATGGATTAGGGCTGCCTGAACTGGCATATTTAGCTGAATCCAGATGGGTTGACTCATTTTGCTGCCAGATTTCTTAAAGTGTCCTACTGTTTTCTGTTCGTTCTGTCTGTACTGTTTGGTCTGCACCCTCATGGTCTGTTGTGCAGCCACGTGCCATGTGTATTCTGTATGTAACTGTCAAAGGGCATTGCACTTTTGTACGAACGAGGCGACATTTTGAAACCAGAGTATCCAGTTTCATAATGCATTTGTGGTTTGGAACTTTAGATGTTGACATCAAATACTCAATTAACTGTTTATTACAACCAGCGAGTAACAGCACATAAGGTCAGGGTGAAGTTGGAGAATTCTTTTCAGAATATAAAGGAATACTCATTTTTAAAATCTTCAAAACCTTCGCGCTGTAGCCATCGTGGATTGTTCCTCCATCCATCTGTCCCCTTGTTGTTAATGTCTCTTGAGCGAATTTCTTTAAATTTGGAACACACATTCACTTAGACTTGACTATAAACTGATTAAAATTTCATGTTCAAACGTCACCGTGACTTCACAAAACACGGTTTTAGCCATAACTCAATAATTCATTTGTAATTCTCAAAAAATTCCACGTAAGTGTCTAAGAATAGGATAAAGTAAGGAGAACTTTAGTGTGGCATACTGTTTTGCAAAAACACTTTGCTGGCCATTTTTAAACACTAAAACTCAGGAACAGAAGAAGAGATTGTGACCATATTTCACATTTGGTCAGATGCAGAGTTGGTAATCTTTGATGCGCACCTTGAAACTGTACAGATCATGTTGCATTGAAGATGTGTGTGAAGCAGCTTCTTTGACATCCATGTTTGAAGCATCATCCACTGTCACAGCTACAACATTGTGTTCTGTCAAAATCTGCTTTATTAGTTAAATGTGAACACACACACAAGAGATTTCAATCTTTTTTCTTTCTCTTGAATGAATTTACACACTTCAAATTCTTCACTACATATAATATATCATATTAGATATGAAGGTAAACTGCAGCTTAACAGGCTCGTAAAAGCGTTCGACCACATGACTGCAGTTTTAGTTGTTTATTTATGCTCATCAGTAGAGATCACATTGCTTGTTTTGTCCAACTCAAAACTCCAAAGCCAAATGTACCGAATTTACAGTGATAGAAACAAAACATAAAGGTGGAACAAAAGCTTAAAGGCATTAGCTTTTTTATTGATCATAAATCTATGTTAAAAGTTGTTGTAGTTTAATTTTCTATTGAGTAACTGTTGTCGACTTATTACGTCAACTCCAAAATAATGTCGGGGGGGAAGTTGCTTGGTTGTCAATTCTCCATATTGTATATAATTATTGTGACACATGACTGATTCCCTATTAATTATTTCAGCTCCAATCCTTGGTATGTATGTACAATGCCTGCTGTGTGCTGATGTCCTTTCACTGTGTGCTCATGGGATCCTGATGTACTTTAAACAGGACCTTTGTCGTGTACGAGGTGCTGCGGGAGGACGCGTTCTCCCCGCTGAAGAATGCAGACACTCAGGATGGAAAGGACACACCCACCACAGCCAGACACGCCCTGATGTCCTTGCACCACCGCTGGGTGCTCAACGCCGGAGGCCACTTTATCGACGAGAACGGCACACGCGTACCTGCCATACCCAGGTGACCGCAGTTTGTTACACGTCAAGTTTGGCATGAACACAAAAGCGGGTTCCTCGCGGTCATTCTCACCTTCCCAACACTTTGCACACTGTGTACACACTGTATGCACTGGCTTTTTTGTTTGTTTGTTTGTTTGTTTTTGTTATAGACATGGTTTTCTTTTAGCCTCACACTCTCACTTCCCCCCTCTCATGCTTGGTCTTGCTCCTGTGTGTCCCGTGCAATGTTTCCAGAGACGGAGCAGCAGGCAGTGTCACAGATGATGGCAACAGAAAGTAATTATTCCCCTGCAGTATTGAGTGCATGGTGATGGGGTTTTGGCTTTCTTACCCTCTCGCTCAGACGTGTTAACACCGTATAACATTACGTCTGATCCTCGACATCCCCTTTCCTTCATTGCCACTGAGACAGAGGAGTCTGCAGCAGCGCTGCCAGTCTTTACAGTCGGTTGCGATGAAGGAAATGACAGCGAGGATCGGTTTAGTCGACAGTCCTCTTCAGCATCCTGGTCAGATGACGCACTGTCATAATGACCTGCTGACAGATTATTTTCCCCCTCCGATTATTTCTACTAATACTTGTAATGTTCTGCATGCTGGGAAATGGGAACCAGTCACACAAACTGTGACCACTCTGCAATATATGATGAACATGTTGATTTGTATGTGAAATATTCACAACAAGGTCTATTGCTTGCTAGTTTGCCTTGAAATCCATTCGCTTCTTTTTTAAGGCAGAAATAAATGAGCATGTGCTTCACTGACATTCATGGCATCCATGAATGTTAAAAAGGCTCTCAAGGGTGTGCTTCTTTCCTAATCATTAAGCTTTTTCTTCAGGCAGCTGCTCAGCAACATACCTGAAACACCTGATGTTTGATTACCGATTGTCTTGTAATTATTGTCTAGAAATAAACATGTTGAATGACAGCAATGTGGCGCAAAAGCCCCTCCTAGTTTGTCAAACGCTCTGGGTGGAGATGCAAACACATTACCTGTCATTCATCTGTTTTCTTCTAGAGCAAGTCGGGTCAGAGGACTAATCACTGGTCGCGATGAAGCTCTGATTCTTTGCCTTTTGAACTCTAATCACACGCTGCAGCAGAAGAACAGCTGTGTCGAGGATTCACAGCTGCTTCTCTCAGTTACAGTCTCCCTCTGGCTGCTTTTCCCAAGACAATCACTCATTCCGTTTCTTTTTTTTTTTTTCCCCCTCTGATCTTCCCTGAATTTGTCCTTTTCCAATGCAGCTTGAAGGACGGAACAGACCTGCCAATCAAATGTGAGATTTCCCCTCTGGTGTCCTACGGAGGAGAGGTAAGGAGGCATAAGGAGCCTGGTGCATTTAACAGAAAATACAGATGTTCTTCTTCTCCTGAGGGGTTGCACTACGAAGCAAATTTAAATAGCCAGGCTGTCTTTGTGTAAGTCGGTTCGAAAAAAAACTAAAATCCCAGAGATAATGAGCATCACAACTCCATTAACTCAGGTTTTCTTCCTCATGCTCTGTGTGTAATACCAGGAAGAGGGGCGTTTAAGCATCATGTCACTCTTCTTCCAAACAAAATGGACCCACTTAAGTCGAGACAAACAGGTTTTTATAATATAGAGCTGAGGAGAATATAAAAATATAAAAAACGGAAAGAAGTACTGTTATTGCTAGAAAATGTTAGAGGAATGTTGGTAGAGAACTGTAATCGTTTATGTTAATATACTTATTGCTACTTACTGCTCTCATTACATCTACTTCATTCTAACGTGACACGTGCACATTAAAGCTCTTAAACTGTAAACTTCATACATTTGAATATGTTACTCAAGAAGAGCTTTTAGGTCTGACACTGTCTCATAATGAAGGTTATGTAGAAATCACTAGATAAGTTTTGGTTAAATCAAAATAAAGTTAATGTTAGTGATTGGATATTGTCTATAATAAATACTAGTAAAGTGATTCATTTTCTAATCTGTATTAGCTGCAGCATCAGCAGTGTAAAACAGACTTGGTAGCAAATCAGGATCAAACATAAAAACATATTGATGTATTTTCTGCATTCCCAACTGAATGCATGTAGATTCCAATGACGATACAACTCCTATAGTTGGCCTCTGTATCACCAATGTACAGTTCAACTGGTTTGCAGATATGATGTGTTCTCTCAGCTGAGAATCTCTATCACTCATACCATTGGAAAAAGAATTGGTGAAAGCCGGTTTAAATCCCAAACTGTGAACAGAACCTCCTCTGGAGCAGGTTAGCTGTTACCATGGAGATCCACCATTAGCTGACACTAAAAAGTCCAGCTTTAGGCTCAACATATCTTGCTAAAACACTGATCTTGCTTCAAAGTACTCCCCTTCTTTGAGCAGTTATTGTGAAATAATTAACCTGCACACTCTCGAGCAATGTTCTGAAGGCGTCTATGCTTCTTTAAGGGTCTTGAGGAGCTGGTGAAAGGACGAGACTTCCATCCCACCCTGGTGATCGATGAGCATGGAGCCCACGAGGTGGTGAAGAACGGAGTTTAATCAGTGAAAAAAAAAACAGAGAGAGAGAGAGTGAGAGAATGAGGGACAACCCAAAGACCAACCTCCCTTTTATCTCTCGACGTTTGTGGGGAGAAACTGTGATGTCTTCGCTGTGCAATAACGAAAACGCGTGCATGTGTTCGTGAACGAGGCCGTCACCGTGCAGAACGAATGAACGAGCAAGATGAAGTGTGTCGTTTACTTTTTATCCGAGTTTCCTTTGCTTTGTATGTCGATGTCATGTCACACATTCATATTTGTTTGGAAGAGCACTTGAACACAGCATGAGATGAAGTACGAAATCCCTGTTGAACCGACTGGATGAAGCAGTCTGCAGGTGCTTCTATTTATTTTGCTTATGAAACTTATTTTTATATGTACCGATAGATGCTTTATAGGTGGAAATTCCCATCTACTCATTTTACCCGGTGATTTTTATACGACAGTTGACTGAGACTAAATGATCAGAAGGACGTTTCTTACTAGCATGTAATCAAGGTACATGGCTGTGGGGGGTATTTATAGTATCTGCTTCTTTTCTGTTCATAATCGATGAATATTAGACATTATTCAGCTTTAAGGGAGATTATGATTTCTATTATCTTTATTAAAAAACATTTACTACTTGGAAAACACATTGTCTTTTGTTTTTTTTTTTGTGGTTGCCTAAACAGGATTATGATTCTTTTCTTCTTTTTCTTCTTTTTTTTTTGACAAATCAGCGTACAGTATGCGAATGTGTGAGTTTCACTAGCCTGTGTCTGCAGGGTGTGCTTTTTGCATTATAGCTCCTGGTGTCGTGAATCAGAGTTTCCAGCACATGGTTTATGTTCAAGATGGGCCAGAGCATGCAACGCTGCTGCAAATATTCAGGAAATATGCTTTGTGGCTCCATTCTGACTCACTTTCTTTCTTACTCTCCAGCTCCATAACTGCATTATGATGTGAAAGGCTGCAGTGTGAGCACTTGAGCGGAAAAAAAAAAAACTTTGACGGCGTCCTGATCTGTATACGGATCTTTGTACAAATTTCATATACTTGTCGATACAGCGTCCTTCGATGCTTAATAAGAGTTTATGGCCAAACGAACAGCTCTGTGATGTTTTTGGCTACATAATCACCAGCTTTAGGTTAGCAAGTTGATGTATTCTTCTCATTCGCAGTAAAATTAGAACTAAATAACACAAAGCTGAGACTGATATCATTAGTTTTGCAAGTATTTGATAATACCAAAGTGTTTGAGAAGTTTTAAAAATACACAGAAAAATGTTAGATTTCTACTCTAAATGCATTCATTGTTTTTAGCGAATTATTAATAATCTTGACATTTATTAAAATAGATTTTATGTGTAATTTTTTAGGCATTCCAATGAAGCCGTCTAATAGATTTCTCTACTGGTTTTGTGAGGCGGCCACCCCAACCCACCTTTTGCTCCACACTTGGTATGAACCTCTAATTAAATACATTTATGAATTCAGGGGGAGTCAGATGACAGTAAATATAGATCTAAAACATCCTAGAAGAATTACATCCATTGAAATGGTGGGGGGATCTAAAGAGGTTAGGGAATTGCCAAAGTTATTAGCATCCATCCAGAGCTGTTGAGATTTGCCTCATAGTCAAAGTCTGTAGGGTTTGTCCTCTGGGGATCATGAATATCTGGGGAAAAAAAAGAAAAAGTAACGATGTTGGATCATTTGACAGACCAACTTTGCCACCCCAAGTGTGCTAGCATTCCTACAACTGAGCAAAAGCAGCGGAAAAATAAAAATCTCCCCTCAAGTAGACACTAAAATCTGTAAAATCTTTATGCTCTACTAAATTTCCTCCAGCCACCAGAGTCACTTCACTGCAGGACAGAATGTCTTCCTCTTCAGGAAACAGTACCGGCAGCTTCGCACGTCAAAAGAAATCAGAAAAGCCTGAAGTCACGAGCCTCTCTGTTATGAATCAAACCTTCACATTTCCAAATAGCACAGATTTTAAACGGTTCGGGCCGCATCAGCAGCAAAACACATGCGTCATCAGAAGACGACCTCTCGCTGACACTTGACTCACACGTTTCACGGATCTGGTTTGACTATTAAAGCTCAGATGAACTGCTGTGTTCTGTGTTTAATAAAAAAAAAAAAAAAGTAACCGTATTTGCAGCAGGTTTTGAACTTAAAATGCATTCTTTGTGTGACAGAAGCAACTTCGAGTTCTATAAATTTGTAATAAAGTGACTCCTGAAGACAGCAGGACGAACGTTGCCGTCAATTATGGCAGCTTCAGCCTTAAGCTGTCAAAAGAAAGGCTCTTTTCAGGAGGAAGAAAGCTTTTTGATTGAGCGTTGGATTCGGCCTTAATTGAAACCTTATGTGTGGCATGTGGAATTCTGGGACTTTGGCTCAATCCCAAGAATCCACAGAATGTGAAGGTTTTTTTTTTTTTTCTGCCTCCCCCTCTCTCTCTCCTCTCTCCTCTCCCTCTCTTTTTTCCTATGTGCAGGGGTGTCTTACATCAGCCCACTGAGTCCTGGTGAAGGCAGCTGACGGACGGAGAGTGAGCGAGCGCGAGAGAGAAGGGCTCGGATTGTAACATCCTGCCGCCTGACTCTCACTGGAATAACCTAAAGTCATCTGCGAACAAATGGTCTGAAAGGGGGAAAAAGAAACATCTTAAGAGTAAGTCATCTTTTCCTTTATACACTTTTCAACACTTCATCCTTTTCTTTCCTTCGCTTGGACTGTTTAAGACTTTAAATCCTCATCAGCTCTGTGAGAAAACCTTCATGTTTCCTTGAATTATTCCAGTTTGGGAGCCCTGCTGCTCGTTTGAACTCTGTGTACCTTTTTGTGTGAAGCAGCTTCTGTTTGCAGTAGAAGTGAACGAGTGGACTCAGAGCGATGCAGCTTCAGACTCGTCTCTGCTCAGCTGCAGCTGTTTTCGACACACTGTTCTACTTCTACGGTTGACTTCCAATGTGATTAAGGCTCATTCCTTCTTTTAAACACCTTTTCACTTCAAATAACGATCAGCTTTGAACAAAAGAATGGAAACTCCTCCTCTAGAATACAGTTAAACAACTCGTTTTACTCTGTGCATGAATGAGATTCACTCTGTTCGTGCACAGCTTAAAGTGTAATTGGAGGAGTGTTTACTGCCTCATGCTGAATCCCTTTCCATTGTGCAGAATGGCACCAACTCTTCTTTTTACAAGCAACAAAAGCAGCCTAACTAATGTAAAAATGACGTGCCTCCCTATTTGACTGCCTTGCATTAAGTTCACACACATTTTTCTTTGCTTTATTGTGGCCTGGCAGTTTGGAGAATCTTCAGAAACAACATTTATGTCTGCTGAGATTCTCTTTGTGGTCACCTGATGAAAGAAAGGTTTCCATCCCTCGAGTACATGCCGGACCTTTGTGTCACCGAGGTCGTGTGTGTGTTCTTCGGTGTTATGTAGGTGTTACGTAGGTGGTATGCAGGTATCCTCCTGTGGTATGTGGGCGATAGATGTTCACACAGAGGACTCTTTGCTGCCTCGCTGAGGAGTTCAGGGTACGTATGAGCTCACGGCTCTGACATTTGAACCGCGTTGCTCTACTGAACAGTCAACAGCAGACTGAGGAGAGCGGATCAATGGAGGGATTGTTGCAGGAAGGTCAACCTGTGGGCCAATATGTGCACAGGTTTTATATCTGCACATGTGGATGCTCTTTGTTTCCAATATTTATAATGAAAAGGCCGTTATAATAGTTGATGCTGACCTCAGTGGCTTCATAGCAAGTGTAGACCTGCAGTAAAAAGGCAGTTAATGCTGTTTTCAGCCTCTCTAATGCGATCATTAACTGCTTTTCTCAGCATATCGACATGATACCTGAGGTTTCTGATCCAAACAAACCAAGACTGCACAAAAAAGAAAGAATATTTGTCTTTTCAAACTCTTGTTTAAAGGGCGAATCCACCCTTTAAATGCTTTTATATGTGCAGTGCACCGCTGAAGATTTTTATTAACCTTATTGCCAATTAAAAAAATGCAGTTTTCTTGACATTTAGTCTGTAAAATGTTCCACAAATATAAAACATTAAAGCAAAAATCTGTTAAGATAAGACAAAACTTTATGAATCCTGATGGAAATTCCAGATATTGCTCAGAAAAAACAAAATGACTTAACATAAGTGCCTAAAAAGAAGAAAAACAATAAGATCGCAGTACAATGCAATAGTGAAAAGTGTGCTAAAATAAGACTAGAATAGACAGACTGACACTGAGATAATACATAGGCCTGTTTACAAGAACACAAGGTAGACATGGTGGAAAGATTCATCCTGGATGTACAACAATCAAGCACAGAGCTGTGATCTTTGCGTATTAGTTTGATCTTGTATTTCACTATCTCTGCTCTTTTCTGTGCACGGAGGAACAAAGAAGTAATAGAAGACAAAGCAAAGCTGTGGAAAGCAAAAAGTGAAATTTCACAACTTGACCACAAATTAATAGCAGGAACGCGCTGATTGCCACAAACGGAGGATTTATGACGGGATAAGAGCATGTGGGTGTGGATTTTTCCTTTAGGTCCTCTTTGTTGTGTCCTCGCTGGGCTGGGCGTGCAAGTCGGAAACCATCTTTATCAGGATAAATAAGCTCTTTGTCAAAACAGAGCGGTGGAGTTATTGCTTATGACAGCGAAATGATATGAAAAGTTTGTGGTGAACACAAGAAGGGGGTGAATAATTTACTCATATATCTTGTATTTGCTCATACAGTTGGACTCCATTATCTAGTAGATGGACGACACACACACATGTATATAACACACACACAGATAATGAAAGGAGTAGTTTGTTATCACTGCATCTCTCTGACATGTCGTTTCAATTAGCAACCCTTCCCTCAAAGCCCGGCGGCTGACTGACATGCTCACATACAGACCCTAATCACACGCCACAGCAAAAAAGGCTGTAATTTCAACCCCACACTGAAAACGCTGCACCAGAGGCACCCGGTGCTTACTCGACTTCGCTGTAACTCGACGCTGACGTTGTTTGATTGGAAGTGTTTTCAAAAATCAATGCGTCTGGCAGGAGAAAAGCAGCTGTGCCACTCGACTGCTCGCTCGCTCGCTGAGGTGCATGCTGTAATTTGGTATAAATAGGCCCATTTCAGGGAAGATCACGCCTAAAATAGCGCGCTGTTGACTTTGCGTCCCACACGTGCTTGAACTTCGACCCTGCCCAAACCAGCACCCCGCTCATCACCTACCGGCTGAGTGGGGGGGATTGGGTTACATGTAGCCTAGAGAAGTTGGAATTTTTCGCTTTTGGTTCTGAGTTTAACTTGTTTTCCACTGATTTAGTTTAATTTCTGTGTTATTTACTGAAGTTATTACAAGTTAGATCCAGAGGAGGCCTCCTGAGCTGATCATGAAAACCAAATAATTATAAAGGAGGTAAAACGTAGATGCTCATTGGCACAAAGCAGTCCGTAACTAAATCCTCCTTTCTGTTTGCACATGTGGCCTCTGTGCTTTTTTTTTTTTTTACCTCGGTCATTCTCCTGTTTACATGTGGCAGTCCTTTTTGTTTTTTGTTTGTTTGTCTGTTTGTCTGATGCTCATTATCTGTCCCTCCATCTCGGTTCCCCCCA